CCACAAAACCCCAAAACCCCAAAACCCCGAGAAGTTGTAGAGCAATTAAAAACTGTGGAATGATAGTTTGATAATCTTACCAGTTTAATTATTAAGAATTTGAAAATAAAATGTACTCTTAAAAACCTCCTTCATAAATGTCTAGATCTAGCAGTCTTAGAAAGCATCCTTAATAACCACAGAATCAGAACTACAACTATATGAATTCGGCTAATGGAGTTATGCAAGTATTTCAAGGAGGAGCATCTGGATAAAGACCAATCTCAGGTTATTCAGTAGCGAAAAGTACACATCCATCAGTGCTTTAAGATAATATGAACATGACAAGCAAGCAGAACATAGCTAATCATACTTCCTAGAATTATTCATGTAATTACTAAACTTATGATTTACAACTATTAGTCTATAATTTTCATCAGAATGGTGGAGTGCTGCCAAGTGACAAGTATGTCAAGCAAAAGGAACTGTCTTCAATTAGACCTAAAAGTGTGGAATAGCTCGCTCGATAAAGGATACTTAAGAGAAAAGAATATTTAGACCAGCATTTCAATGACAATCCAAAGATGATAACTGAGGGCAATGAACCCACGATTGAGTAAAAGTTGCAAATTGAGCAACAAACACAGCCTTCTATTAATATATTCAACTTTGAAGAAAAAGAGAAAAGGATTATCAATATACAATCTTCTACTCTTAGCTCTGCAGTAGATACAAAGCATGCATAGAAATAGATGTAACCTAGAGGCAAATAAGTTGCGGATTGCTAGAATCAAATGACAAGAGTAGATCCTTAAAGGGCTTAGCCAAAGAAAAAGAAGGAAGTAGATCCAGATAAGTAGTATGAGTTCTTTTTTGAGAAGTATTTGGATGAAAATGAAAGTGTATCTTCAAAGAATACCGACAGGGAACTTCAAAATACGCTTGCCCAAAGAGTGTAGCATTAGCAAACAGCTTCATTCTAAGATAAAGAAAAGAGCAGTATATCTCATATAGTAATTCCATTTCAATAGTCATAACAAGAAATCTAAATGAAGAAACAACATGAGGAGTAAAGCAAAGCGATTCTTGATGCTAAACTAAAGAACATGAATAAGTATTAGGAGATACTTGGAGAACTGGCTCAACTTAAAGATGAAACAGCAAATGAACTTGATGAGCTAGAGAAGGAAATGTAGAATAATACCATTGATTCTGTTATTAAAATAGAAAAGAAACCATTAGCTATATTAAGGTAAAATATACTAGATTGAGTTTAAAAATAGTGATTAAGACAATAAATTGACTAAGTAAAACCTTAAAAGGATGACATAATATGAGAAGAAGACAGTGCACGAGCACATCAAAGCAAATTACCTCACAGAATCCTCTGTGTAGCAGCAAACTTTAGAATCATTCAAGGTAAGATTACTAGATAATATATAAATAGAAAAATAACAATGCAAAGGATTTCCAGATGATAGCGCCTTTTACAAATATAGCTGAACGTATCAATATTTATAGCACTCTTAAGACTAAACTGAATAAGACTATTATTAAGCAGTAAGAAGCTGAGCAACAACTTGAAGCAGAATTGAAACAAAAGCGCTTTAAAGAATAGCATAGCAAGGTTAAAGAGGATTTGAAGAAACGAAGTGAGCAGATAAAGAATGAAAAGATTAAGAAGTAGATTAAGGAGCAAGAAGACAGCTTGAAGAATCAAATCAAGAAAAAAGAAGCTTTGCAGAGATAGATCATGAGAAGGAAAATAGAAGCTTAGGAAAAGCAAAGCAAAATGCAACAGAGAAGAGTAATTAAGCATTTCATTGAGGAAAATAAGAATCAAGTCGGAGTGATAACTGACAAAGCTAAAATGCTGATGATAGAATAGCAGTATGATGACAATACGACTGAGTATTAGCAGGATGAACTGACTAATCTGGAGATTGAGAGGCTTTAGCATGAGATCATGAACTCTAAGCAGCTTTTAGAGAAGTAGGAGAAGTTCTTGCTCGACTAAGTATACCAAGATATGCTGAAAGATAAGTATAATGGCTATGGTTAAGCCATTCCTTATCTAGAATCAAGTTAGATGCATTCAGATAAACTCAATGACACTGAATCGAATAACAACCAGAATTAGTAGACTCCAAATGAGCAATCACAGTCAAACTTGCATCAGAGGTCAGAGTAATCCTTATATGATATGATTCCACTGTCCATGAATGATAAGATCATTGGTCTTGAGCAGATCGATGAAGCCTAGAAGTAGACTCTGGCTGAGATACAGTACTATGCAAATGAGTAATAGATACTGGAATAAAAACTAAGAGAGCAAGAGTAAATGTTGTAGATTGTGATGAGAGATATTTAAGAGCGAGAGAAGCTTTTGACATATGTTTATGGTGATCATGTGAATCCATCAAATAACTAGACTTTAAATGAAATTGAAGGTTAAAATATTAACTATAACGGCATTGAGGAAGTTGAAGAAGATGATGAGCCTTAAGAATGATTATTATCATTAGGATTGGATATAATAGATTAATATAGAATTGGATAAAGCTTATGATTATTAGAAATTTAAATTGATTTATCTTTAATTTGTAATTAAACTTTTGTAAGGGGTTTTGGGGTTTTGGGG